TTATATGACTAATGAAAAGAAATATAGTGTAGAATATATGTTAATTTCTGACATTGTTAATAATTTGCACGTCGACATAGAGGCAGAACGTATATGGGAAATGTAAACCTCTTTCATCGAAAACTACCTACATTTATTTATTTATTTATTCATTAGTACAAATATGTGTACATGGCGGACTTAATGCTAAAAACATTCTCTCCCAGTCAACCATAGGGAAGTGTCAGAATACTCGAATGCGGTACTACTAATTATTGATATACATACATACTAAAATTACATATATAAACGAATAAATATATATGAATAACAAATATACTTACACATATATTATATATACTATATTATACACGAATTTGGGAATAATATAAAGCACTTACTGCTCGGATAAAGATAAAAAGTGAGCGTGAACGCTTTTTTTGAAAGACAGTTTAGTCGGTAGTCTCTTAATGGCATCAGGAAGCGCGTTCCAGAGTCGTGAAGAATGTAGGAGAAAAGAGTTTGAAGCGTAACCAGTACAGTGAGAGGGGAAAGATAATTGGAGACTATTATTGGAACGAAGGTTACGTTCGTGAGTTTCAAAAAGATAATGGAATTTACTACATTACATTCTAGCAAAATAATTTCATTTCATTTCATTTCATTGCAACTACTGGCACAAGTATGGGAAGACGTATTTTCAGCAGTGAATAGTGAATGGCTAAAATAATAATAAATGTAGGTACATTCTTGCCTGTCAATCTTTACGTAATTTACTTGTATGTTACAGTTATTGGCGGAAACAGAAATACTTTTATTGTTCGTTAATATTTGTGTAATAAAATTTATTTTGTAACGGACATTTATTGAGACCAGCAACATTTTTACTTTACATTGCCATTAATTCAAAACAATATAAGGGATCTTAATTTTAATTTACGAGTAAGTGTTAGAAAGCCTTTTGCGTAAAAAGGCACTTAATGACCTCTACAAATATGCAGTAGTGACTTATTTTACTATTAGACTGACATGACAGAAACAGATATAAGACAGAAGATGTTTAGGCTTAAGTAGAGTTGACCTTCAACTTGATTCCATACAGCGTGGTATGGTTTGGGCGGTCGACGACTCCATGCTTATGAACGGTTTGGACTCCCTAATTTCGAGACTGAGTGTTGTTTATTTATCCAATTTCTACCATCAATATACTGAGAAATATTCCAAAGAATTATACGACCTGATGCCTTAATCACCCTTTTACTACCGTACCTCCATAGAGCTGGAGTTCACCCACATATTTTGGATACATGCCATCACTACCACTATCATGCATCCCATTTGTTTCTATCTCGTATACTTAGGTCGTGGAATAAGCTACTACAGAAAGGATCTGTAGTTTTCCCTTTACAATATAATATAGGGCATTTCAAAACACGTACCTATAAACGCAAAAGCAACAACTCTCGTGTTGCAAGTATTTATGAGCGACGGTAGTCGCTCACCATCAGAGAGACTGTTTGTTCGTTTGCTTCCCTAACAATAAAAAAAAATTCCTGCAATATTTCTAAAATGTGACCAAAGAACCAAATACTTTTAAAATGTATTTTTATTTTTTTCGATGTATCCTGAAGAAGACTTCCGAATAGAGTCGAAACAATTGTCGGAAACGACAAAACACAGAGAGTTCATGAATTTTTCGTAACCTATCATATATTAACTCTATACTTGTCTATAGACAGAGTCGCTGTCTGATCCAGAGGGCATCGCTATATGCTCTGTGATATCTATACTATTGCTCACATCTATAGGCGACGGTTATCACTTTCCATCAGGTGGGCCGTCAGTTTGTTTGCCATTTTAAGTATCATAAACATAAAATAAATTGACTTGAAATAGCTAATAGAATAGACGCCCAAATGTAGCCCAGGGTCATTTTTAGAAATTTAATACTTGTCTTGCCATCAACATGCATAGAAGAAGAATTAATTGAAGACAATTACGCTGCTTTCCTTGCATCGATCAGTGTTAATAACAATCTGATATTACTAAATCTTAAACCGTTAAATAAATCAATTACGGCCTTTTTGTTAATTTCACTTTAATATGCGAATTGTGGTTATAAATCAACACAAATGCAAACATGAGAAACAAATTATACCATGTACATTTATCGTGAAAGCAACAATTTGTGAAATCTTCCAAAAATTTTCGCTTCAATGGCGCTGTTTTGAATTCGATAGTGTGAATTAATTTGTGTGGCCGGAAATTTATCGTAGCAATTATTTGTCTATCCATGGTGTGACATGAATAAACTACTACATAGACAGATACATGGCTCAATAAAATATTACCCAGTATGGTGAGTATGGTAATTTATTGAAATGTAGTTATTTTTTTTATTTACATATTAATTTACTTTACTACTATTTCCTAAGCTGGTGACCGCGTGGCGGGCCGGGTCGTCGTGCTTCCTATAACGTATTTATTTATTTATTTCTTATTGCATTCCATAATATGATTAGTAGATAACATTTCAAGTACGAGAGAGGCATTTAAAAGCAATTTTTATAAGATCTGCCAAATCACAGGCAATTCTGGCATCATGTGTAAAGCAGTTGTGTTTGCGTGGTTGTGTTTCAGTTTGAAGGGTGGGATATGGCGTGAATTTATAGGGTACAGAGGAATAAATGACTTACCATGGGGGTTATCAGATACTCTGTTATGTCTGTCATGTCTATAGGCGACGGTTACTACTTTCCATCCGGTCGTACCATTCAAAGTTGTATAAAAAAATTATACAAAAGTGGCAGTTATTTTCAACTAACTTATAAAAGAGGGAGTTCTAAATTCAATAGTTTTTTTATGTTTGTTACCCCATAACTCTGTCAGTTGTAAACCAATTTAGAAAATTATTATTTTTTTATCTGAAAGGTTAAACTTACAGATTGATCCCATAGAAATTTAATCAAAACTCGTCCAATAGTTTAGTTTTTAAAATAAAATAACTGGTTTTAAGACAATTGGAGTTGGTTTTTTGTGGTACACAGTTTTAATTATTTTAAATTATCTAAAAATGGATATAAAAAATTTAGCTGTTTAGGATATAGTTTAATATTGGGTTCCCTGGACTGTAGTCAAAGTTATCTGATTGAATTATCACTAATTTTATACGACATTTATTACTAATTCGCTACGTTTTATTAAAAGTTTTTTTTTCCAATATTTTTACAAGATTGTTATTAACTTTACTTAGTAATGTGAAATGAAATGAACATTTATTTGCCAGAAACACTTTTAAATAGATGGTTAACTTAACGAATTACATACTAGGGGATTTACAGATGAATGTTCATAGTTTAATGCAAATAAAGAGTTTGAATCTACATTTGGTATAAACATTTAAATGTGTAAGTAAAATTTTGTAAGAAAATTTTTTTCATCCGATTCCTATTATTGAAATGTATAAAAACTTTATTATTTTTTACATAAATCAGACGAAAAAAGAAATAAATAAAGAGACCTGCAATGGTGTTTCCGATGAAGTAAAACTTGGAGATCTTTAAGAAGAGAAGTAGATCTTTTTAAAAGATCTGCAAAGCACAGGCAATTCTGGCATATGTTAGTCTCTATGGATTCTGGTAATGACTTACCATCAGATAAACTAAGGTGAGCTCCCTCTACCAGAAGGGGATTATACAAAAGTCGTTTCCTTGGGCACCTCTGTCCCATTCGTGTTTCTACCGTGAAGCTGTTGTGTTGCATAGCTGTTTCGGTTTGAAGGGTGGGGTATGGCAATGAACTTAAGTAACTTAGAAAAGTGAAATGAGCTTGGAGCTTGGCGTGAATTTATAGGGTACAGATGAATAACATCTGAGTTCTCAGGAATGGCAACGCATGGGGGGTATGGGCGAAACACTATACTCTGTTATGTCCATGGTACTGCTCATATCTATAGGACGTTACCACGGATCAGGTGGGCCGTCAGCTTGTTTGCCATTCTAAGTTGCAATAAAAAAATTATCTAATTTTGATTACTCCTTGTATTTTATTTATAATTATTAGGTATTAAAATAAATAAATGGCACATTCTCTAAACTTCTCCTTAAGTTAAAAATCCAAGCGAATTAACAACCTCATCTATTTTGAAGTTGCGTAAAAAAATTTAATTAATAAAAAAGTCTAAAATCTAAATTAGCGTAATTTTTAATCCAAAATGTCTTTAGTATAATAATAATTATGCACCGTTAAAATTAATTATGGAACATCCAAATAAGTTAAATAGTTTTTATTATAAACGATAAATTTAGTTATTCTAAGATTAAAATGTTTGTCAAGCAGAAATTATGGTGTAGTGCTTAGCTTTATTAAATTTGATTCCATTTTTATAGTAAAAAAGTTAGTTCTTTTTTGACATTATTTGTCAACAGACTTCAAAACGGAGAAAGATCTCAACTTGATTGTTTTTATTTTTGTTATCGCATAACTCTATGATAGATAAAACGATTCGTAAAATTACTTTTTGTCTATAAATTCTTTTTTTTATTTTAAAATTGGTTGCTTAGATTATTTTAATATAATTTTATAAAAATCGGTTTAGTAGTTTTGTTTTAAAACGAAAATAGATACTTAATTCTCTTTAAAAAAATTTATTGATGGAATAAATTAATAAATACCAATTCTGCATCTAGGAAACTTATTTGGGAATATACTGCAAGCAATTTTGGGATTTACTAAATAACTCAATAATATGAATAGCATTGATAATAAAATGATATTGGACATAACTGGTGGTTATTTTAACCACCAGTGATTTCCATTTTAGTGGAGAAAAAAAAAATGTGCGCATTCACGAATATACCAGGAGCGCATAACATCACAGAAGCATAGCTCTCGGCACCCAGCGCGCGTCAATTCGAAAACGCTTAGAAAACGTACAGCGGCTGCAGGCTCCTCATTAACCCAGAAAATGGTACGCAGCTTAAACCAGTGAAAGACGATGAAAACTAGTATACGATATATATTAGTTGAACGATCTGTGGGCCCGCACCCAGTCGATCTGCGTCCGCGGAGAAGGACGCACGTCCGTCGTGACAGTCGCGAGCCGCAACTTTAGACGTACGGTTCAATCGAAACTTTTCCAGACGTGTGTAGTGTTGTATCCCGCAAGTGAATTGGGAATATTTTTCGAGTAAGTTTTTTTTTTAGAAATATTTATAAAACATGTACGTTATTTTTATAATTATTTTATAAATTTAAAAAATTGTTTAATTTAAGAAAAGTATACCGTCAAACCAATAAATTTAAGACGTAAGTAAAATCATCTATTAATTATAATTCTCATTGAAAATGGTCCTTAAATATTTATAACCAAAAATTTTTATGTTACGAAAGCTTTAAAATCAAAACAGTCCCAGTCCAAACAAGTTCTGATACACATCTGGCCTCATTTCTTACATTTATATTCATAGAAATTGCACCTTCGTGTACTAACATGTACCCATAAATTCAAAATAGATGTCATGTATATAATATACAAGAAAGTATGATACGGTAAAATATTGCCTTGGGCAAAAATAAAAGTGATTTTAATAACATATTTTTATATGTACCTATGTTATGTTTTCGTATCTCAAATAATTTCATTATGGTTCGTTTAACTTCTGATCGCTGTATTTAATACGTTTATTTTCATTGTTAGTCTTATCATTAAATATTTTTTATTTACTTAAATATATATATTTTAATGTTAAAAGTTTCTATCTTTATATAAATCTATTGATTTTTCACTTTTCAAAATTGTCTCATACATACATGTTACTATATCAGTCACAAATCCTTTTAATAAAAAACATAGACTATAGAAAAATGGGCTAATAGGAACACATCCAAAGCCGTAAATATATTTTAAAACAAAAACTTTTTGACACTTTATGGTTTATCATTTATCATATGATTAATTAGTTAAGGATTCTTTTAAATGCAAAATATATGACCTAATTTAATGAAATTGTTAAATTACCTTTTGCAAAGAATAAGACCTTGGAGATTAATCATTAATTGATAAATAAATATCAAATAATGAATAGAATAGAATTGAATAATGTTGCAATCTTTATAAAAGAACAATAACTACTTTTGATTGATAATATTTATTTTGATAATAAAAATGTTGTATACCAAATTTCTAAGCAGTGTCCCTCTTAAAACATCACCAAAGCCTAACTGCGGTTGTCAACCTGCCTGCTAAGTGTAGCAACTACTGGCAAAACCCTCCTTATGGGTTAAGCAGTGGTCAAGTAATATGGTTTGGTATTGTATTTTAAACTGGCTAAATGTAACACCACATCTATTTTTTTATACAACTTAGAATGGCAAACAAGCTGACGGCCCACCTGATGGACAGTGGTAACCGTTGCCTATAGACATGAGTAGTACCATGGACATAACAGAGAATACTGTTTCGCCCATAATACCCCTCATGCGCTGCCATTCCTGAGGGCTCAGGTGTTAATCCTCTGTATCCTGTAAATTCACGCCATATCCCACCCTTCAAACCGTCAGCGTATACCGATAGCGCAGGCGGGGTTACCATCCCATTATCATACCCTTCAAACCGAAACACAACCATGCAAACACAACTGCTTTACGGTTGAAACACGAATGGAACAGAGGTACCCAAGCAATCGACTTTTGTACAAATTGCAAATAACTGATCATTTCATCGTCTTGTTAGATCGCGCAGACCTCCACTGTTGCTTGCATCTATATTTTAGTTATTTCTAACTACCATTATAGTTACTGCTATTACAGATATAACATTATATTATCTTTCATTATCATCATCATCATCATCATTACATATAATTTGATCCATTTTGGAATTAAATTTAATTAAGGTTTACAAGAAGCCTCACAGTGAATTCTTTTATTAATTTGACTCGTTATTTAATATAGAATTGTCTTAAATTTTATTATTTTGTAGTTTAATTATTAGCCTTCCGAGCGTCTCTTACTTTATATATATATGTCTGATTTTTTCACAGTTTAGATTACTTAATTAATACTTACTTACTACTTAATTTTAAGACGTATATGCAAAAATCTAAGTTTGAAGTTTCAGATTACGCAGCTGCTTCGAAATAACTAACTGTTACAATTTAAGTTCTTTTGTATTGTAAATCGTTTAGATTTGATTTAAAATTTATGAACGCACCTTGTATTCAATTTACGGTCAAAAGAAATTTAAACGCATTTATCTCTTATTAACATCTTATATAGAATAATGAGTTTAAATCCATTATACGGGACAGTTAAAGATTGCTCGTTTAAGAGTGAGGGTCAATCACCTTGAAAAGTTACGAATCGAATGAACGTAAGAGTGAAATAAATAAATATATATGTTGGTATGTTAAATGAAAAAAATGCTGGTGGATCATGGCTACTCAATGCTATTAGTAGAAAAAAGTAGGATCAATCTCAAAATTGAAAAACGAAAAAAGCAAAAAATTTGTATGCCTAAGTAATGTAAGGGAACAAACACATACTAAATTAGTCCTGTTGAGGCTTTTTTTAATGATTTTTCGTTTAATTATGTTAGGTAAATGATAATTTCAAGCAATAGAGATTATCAAATTAATTTTCATTATGATGAGGTTGTAAATTTTAGGAGATATAATGAAAAAAACTATATAATTAAATAATTAAAATACCTGCATTGTGAGCCTATAAACTACAGTTACAAATTTCAAATAATTTATAAAAATTTAAAACTCCAAACTAGGCATTTTGTAGTTTGTTCTTTTGAGGACGCTGCTAAATTTGGGATCTAATTTAAAGTTGTAAATAAAATTAGATCTCTGATAGTGTTTCGGTTGGATCAATCGATTAAATTAATGATAGACTTGTGAAAGACGTACAAGTACAGTAACTTTAATATTGAATAGAGTGAGAGCACAGATCATAGAGTATTACATTTAAAAATATTCGCTACATAGATAAATTGGATGGCACACTCATTTTCGCTTATTTTAAATAAGATTAGAAATGAATCTTTGGTAATTTAGTGTACCTATATTTACATAATTGTATATCTAAACATATAGGGAATAGCAACACATAAGAGCTGCTATGGGCGTAATAATGTCAAGTAATCTATCCAGTAATGTCCATGATGCTGGTCATGTACAAATGCAATAGTTGTCACTTTCCATCAGGTGGGCCGTCAGCTTGTTTGCCATTCTTAATATCGTAAAAAGATAGTGCTACAAAATGGAGATTTTAAATCACGTACCAGTAAAGCACGCACTACACAAGATGAGTTTAATTTAAAACATACTGTAGATCTTGCAGTAGAGCATTTGATATGCAAATGTGACTCGTTGCCAATTACAGGTATAAGTACTCTGGGAACGGTTTATAGGAAGCCAGAAGGTATCTTAAACCGCGAGACATTATAAGTTTAATAGATAAAATCAATATGATGATAGTGTAAGGCAAGAAGAAAAGTAAAATGATCCCAACGCATTGATTTACATTGGATTGTGTACTGATTCTATACGTGAAATAAATATAATCGTGTAATTTTCCTGCTTTGAGGATCCCGTAATGTAAGTAACTAGACACTGAAATGTGGCTTTTTGTAATTTTCTAAAACTTTCACATCTCTATATGCTAGTACCGTTTGTTCTCGATTATTAAGATTGACAGATGATTACTGTTGATCGACAATCATTTGCTTTAAAGTTGCTTTCTTGCAAACGTTAACATTTCTCATATCCGAGACTTGGCAGGAACATTACATATCAGAATATTTTATCATGTGGTATACATTCTTTATTTAAAGTGTAGAGTGTACATAATTATTTGGTATGATCAATATATTATTTTGTTCTAAAGAAATATAGAATATTTAATGAAACGAAGAAAGAAAGGAAACGTTTATTGCTAGAATCAAAATAGTAATATACTTAATTTTGTTTAGTTAATATACTTCGAGCTATTACATTATTCGTAAAAGTTATGAACACACTTGAAATATCGTACTCCTATTATAAAGAGCATCAAAGTTCATATATATATATGTAAGATTTCTTAGGTGTTGAGTATAATAAACTTCATTCCCACATCTTTTCATCCATGTGCTGCATTCTTAGATGGAAAACTTTCTGGTGGTCAGTGAATGTTGGTCACACAGATTAGCGAAGCATTTTAAAGTGTGTGATTACAACATTATTGAGAGTCTTGGTATATGTATGATCTATTTGATCTTGGCTAATCTCCAGTTACAAACGCGTGATTTTATTCCAGTTTGTAATATGTTGGAATGAAATGGAAAATTTCCACCCTTCATTTGCTATTCTTTCCACATGCTTGATCTTATATAGTATGTCCTTTCTTATTTTTGCGTCAATACTTTCATTCAAACGATGTCGCTCTTGCATTATATTGCATTACGAACGCAGTTTCACAGTATTGATTGTTTTGCAGATTCTTTGCAGTGCTCGCATTTTAATCACATCAACTACTTTCGTTTTTACGTATCTAATTAATGTAATTGAATTAAATAGCAATGATAACTGAGTTCAACAACGACAGATTGCAGTCTGTTGGTTCTAAGGTTATATCTAAAGCTAGGATATGATTGTTGATATGGCTACCAAATTTTTCAAACATACTTGGATGATTTAAAAATTACTCAGAGAAGACTTAAAACTATTATCCTGTGAGCTGCATTAAGACCTTTTTTCGAATATAATAGATGCAGCCTAGAAACTTTTGACTTCTGAAAGAGCCACGTTGACATGAAAGTAACATAATGCTTTTAAACCCTGCCTAAAACTTTCCCTTACGACTACAGCATTGGGTTCTTCACAAAAGGGTATATTAAGGTTTTTCGATTGTCGGTAACAAGCGCGTGAAATTCCTGGTTTTGCAGGCGTCCATAGACTACGGTAACTCCGTTTACCATCAGACGGGCTATATCCTTGTTTGCCACCACAGTAGTATAAACAAAATTAGTTACAGACACCAGAAGATTTTTAACTTTCAGTGACAATTCAACTTTTACCTCGTCTTGTAATTTCTTGAATACACTAATTGAAATTTCTCAGCATTTATATTACGATGTATAGAGTCGTACACGAAAAATACTGTATTTAATAATCCAGTTTTTTACAGAAAGAATATAGT